ACTGCTGGAGTAGCTCGGTGTCAGATAGCTCATGGAATGTACACTTATCCCTTCCTATCCAGAGATTGGACTGCCAGCCTAGCCAGAACTTGAATAGACGTACGAGTTTGCCTGTCCGTATCTATCCCATGGAAAGCTAGGTTACATGTCCGATGCTGGAACGGTCAATCGTATCGACAATCTTGCGCTGCATAGAATATCCCCCCGGCCGACACTCACTCCATATAAGGCGCAAGCCAACAATTACATAATGTCCCAATATATACATGTAGTAGCTAAATATGGTATTCCCGCTACCGATGCCTGTCCGGCGACCGTCGCGTCGATTGTACCTACAACCGCCAAAGATTGTGCGCAATATATCAACCTTGGTCCATATTATAGCTCTGATGCTGGAGCATACCTGTAGTGTTCGAACGGTATGCCGGAGTCGACAGGCACGGACACGGCAGCGTAGAGATACTGCATGTCTTGATCAGTAAAGTATGGGTTGGCATCCGGATCCTGATATACGTCAGCGCACATCTCCGAGAGAATGAATGAATACTTACATTGATGCGATGCATGAAAAGCTCGCAGAAGACGTGCTTACATCCGATGTCTGACTTCTGCGAGAAAGGACTGACTGGTTCGAGCTGCGAAATCGCGCTCACCTTCAGCCACAAGTCACCTGGCCCAGGCTCGGGGTGGGGGGGCCGGGTTTTCTAGGTGGACGCTGTGGGGGAAGCTGGGACGAGGAGGTCGGAAGCTGTTGGTCTTCGGCATTTCTGCTGATATCATGGCGGACTTGCAAGGGGTTGGGAGTCATCTTGATGCAAGTCTGTCACCCTAGATATATGTACAGGTGTTACCTAGCTAGTCGATGGCTAAGTCAGTGAGGTTGCATATTTAACATGAGATAGAAAGCGTAGCCAACGCACGGCGAGGATACAACATATCGGAGATATCCGGACCGTAGATAGAAATGAACAGATCAACTAGTCTGAGTATCTTAAGGATGGATTGCAATGCTCAACTGGCGCAGTTTCCCGACCGGTATCCAAAGTATCTTATACAGGACAGTCTACTGGATAATGAAACTAGATCTAATATCTTAGGGGTCTTGACCGGTGGATAATCTGCAGGAAACGCAGTGACTCGTCCTTCGTACTTCAGGACTCGTAACCAGCGTGAAATCGAAAAGACCACCTTAACGAGGGATCCCTTCAATGCCTTCACGTAGTTGGGGGGTTCGATTAACATGCCATGGACGTCATAAGCCGGGAGTGAGCAGGGTCGGTGACTCTTCGCGGTTACCCTCTCTTCTTTTGCACGTTGAGAGTCTTCCGTCGTGCACGGCCAATTGTGTATTATCCAGCGCCCTTGCACTAGGTAAAGTGAGTCAAGTGATTCCTGCAGCTGGAACAGGGACTTACCGTTCGCCGTGACGTGATCCTCCAGTTCATCATCGACTCGCTAGAAGTGGTATTCATTAGCAAGTGTCTGTCATGCATGCGATCGGACGCGGAACATACCTCAAAACACTTGTGACGAACTTTGATGTGATCATCGAGTTGAATGATTATTCTGCAGGAGCAAGTGCAAGTGACCAATCCCAACTGCACGGATTACGAGTCCTGAGGTACGAAGGACGAGTCCTTACGCGCAAAATATGCCTGCGTGCCGAACATTGTACCCCGTGAGAACCTTTTGTATCGAGAATTCGTGGGAGTTATAGTTTGTATTGTAGACTACACTTTGGAAACTCCGTTTGAAAGTCCGTTTGTATGTGAGACTACAAAACCACTTTTGGCGCGTTTTTGTAGTCTCTGTGACCATTGTTTGCTCGTTTGCGGGCTCATTTCTTCGTCTTATCTCTCTTTTATTTTCTCTAGTCCTGGGCGTATGCTATACGGGTCTACAACAATATTTTGGAGAATTTATCGATTGTGTGTCTTGTCCTAGTCTGCATGGTGGTTTTACTTTTATTGCTTATCGTGGGAGTTGACTATTGTAGTGGCTTGTAGTCAGTGGCTGAGGTGCGGGCCGCGTCGGTTGATTCCTAGACTCTGATTGGCTCCTGCCTTCTATGAAATAGGCTCTCTGCGTCTTTGCTATTGCGCCCCCGTGCAAACATGACCAAATATTACCTTTTCGAGAAATTTGTCATGTGACCTCCGACCCCTCCGGCCTGGTCACTAAAAATAGAGAACGCATTGCGTAAGCTGGCTATGCCCGCGCTAATATAGTTACATTATTTCCATGTACTCTTGTCCTGTTGTAGTCTAGCGGTTATGATGACCTCCGCAAGTGTCGGAGGTGTCAGGTTCGATTCTTAGTGATGCAAGTTTTTTCTCCTTTGCAGGGTTAGGGTTTGTCAAGTACCTTTATGCAGTATTGCTTTTCTGTAGTATCTTTGTCCCCTATATATATTACAGGTCTACATATTTGAATACAAAATTTGATGTTCCTATCCTCTTGGTCCCCAGTGGTTACTCTAACTAGTCGGACATGCGCTGATATGCACTGACACACAACAATCACCAAGGACCAAAGGAAATAAACCTAAACCCCGTGATATGGGTGAAGGCGGTCCGAGACAACTGAAGGGTATTTAATAGTTCGAGGGGGAAAGGAGGAGTAAGACGCCGTAGGGTAGTCCGTAGGAAGACCTAGAAAAATAAAACAAAACCTTGACGCCTGAAACAAACACTAAGGGACGCTCCGGAGTATTTATCTCCGGAAAGTCGCAGACAAAGTCGCAAACCACGAAACCGAGTGTAGGTTCGGGCCCACGGGAGTAGAAATTGCTAGAGAAACTTGGTTAATTTTATTTCGCTATGTGAGACTCACCGGAGCTAATTGGATCGATGGCGGAGATAATTCACTCGACGAGTCAGGCCTATTGGCAAAGCTAGGATCGGTTATAATTCGCTAAGTTCGACGCTTTTCGAACTTCTCGGGTCGCTGAGATCGTAACGCTAATTCTCTGAGATGGTGAAGTCGAAACTTGTTTTTCTGTACACTACTTTGTACAATTTATACTACAGGAATGGCTTTGCGACCGTCCGGAGATAAATAACAAA